GCCTGCTGGTGGAAAACATTGCTATAAGCTAACTGGCTGTCAAATGACTTTTGGAAACTCTTCCAGAAGTAGGATGTGAACACTGAACCACGATTTGATACAATCGTCTCTGGAACTCCATGCAATCTTACAATCTCCTGAATAAAAATTCTTGTATAAGTCTCTGTAGTATGCATTGTCTTAACTGGAAAGAAGTGCATCGACTTCCTCAGTCGATCGATAATCACCCAGATGGAATCATTTTCTTTGTTAGACCTTGGCAATCCTACAATGAAATCCTTTGAAATATCTGCCCACTTCCATTCAGGAATGGGTAAGGGCTGTAGGATACCAGCTGGCCTCTGATGCCCTACCTTCACTTGCTGACATGTACTTATTTAGATACATATTCTGTAACATTTCTACGCATGTCGTTCCACCAAAAATGCCTCTTCAAATCCTTTTACATCTTATTTGTGTGTGGATGCACAATGTACTTGGTACGGTATGCCTCATCGAACAGATCTTTCTTCAACTGCGGAATATCCGACACTACTAACCAACCTTTCATCCGAAGACCTCCATCTGACCAGATGGTCCAATCTGCCTTGGGCTCTTGGAAATCTCCCTCTTTCGGGTTTGAATCCAAGAGTCTTCAAACTGAGTACTGATCACCCTATCATTCCATGATGGCTATACTAATAACACTCTAAAAAATGCACTGCATCCACCAACCTCTGGCCTAAAGTCAATTTGACTGATGGTAAGAAGGTCTCGCTACAACGAGCACCTCAAAGTTGCAAGCCTATGATGACGCTTCCTGCTCAAAGCATCAGCTATGATGTTCGCTTTACCCGGGTGATACTGAAGTGCAAATTTATAGTCCTTAATGAACTCGGCCCATCACCTCTGCCTCTGATTGAGTTGCTTCTGAGAAAAGAGATATGTCAGGCTTTGATGATCTGTAAAAAATTCAAACTGAACTCCAAAAAGATAATGCCTCCACACTTTAAGTACAAAGACCACCGCCGCCAACTCTAAGTCGTGAGTGAGATAATTCTACTCATGAGGCCTCAACTGGCTTGAGATAAGTGACCACTCTCTGAGTCTGCATCAAAACGCCTCCTAGTCCTGACAACGATGCATCTGTGTAGGCAACAAAAGTTTTGTCACTGTTAGGGATGATCAATACTGGCACGGTAGTTAACTTGGCTTTTAGAGTCTCAAAGGCATTCTGACACTCTGGTCCCAAAACAAACTGAACACCCTTCTTCATAAGGCGTGTCAGTAGGGTAATAATTTTGGAGAAATCCTAGATGAATTTCCTATAGTAACGGGCAAGCCCTATGAAGCTACGAATCTATGTGGCTATCTTTGGTGGATCCTAATTAAGAACTACCTCAACCTTGGATGGATTAACGGCAATACCCTCCTTGGAAATAACATGGCCCAAGGATCTGACCTCTGTAAGCCAAAACTCACATTTGTTGAACTTCGCATACAACTGGTGCTCTCGCAAAGTCTGCAATGCCAAACAAAAATGTTGCTCATGCTTAGCCTCTGATTTCGAATAGATGAGGATGTCATCGATGAATACAATCACGAACTAGTCTGGATACGGACAAAAAATCCGGTTCATCAAATCCATGAATTCTGCGTGTGCATTAGTCAGCCCAAATGGCATGACAATGAATTCAAAGGACCCATACCAAATCAAAAATACAGTCTTGGGAATATCCATCTCCCAAACGCGCAACTGGTGATAACCAGATCAAAAATCAATCTTCGAGAAATATTATGCTCCCTGCATCTGGTCAAATAAGTCATCAATTCTCGGTAATGGATACCTATTTTGAATGGTGACTTTTTTCAACCCACGATAATCGATACACAAACGGAGACTACCGTCCTTCTTCTTTACGAAAAGGACCAGTGCTCCCCATGGAGAATGGCTTCGGTGAATAAATTCTTGAGTAATGAGCTCCTCTAACTGAGTCTGTAACTTGGATATAAGGTATATATAGGTTGAAATGGGTTGGGCTTCAGAGATAAGTCAAATGGGTCAGCAACCTATAAATTTCGGCCAATTTCGTTGAACCAGTGTCTGGTCGTGTTGTACCATATGTCTACCCGTCGTCCAGGCATCCAACCCTATGGTCCAGCAGAATCTGACCACGATGGATAAAAAGCCTAATGTTTTGACAAGCTCCGATTGGATTGAAATTTGGATATAAGGTATAAAATGATGAGAGGAACATTTTCTTGAACTGCAGGGTCAAATAGTTGAAATAGTGCAGAATTGACACCGAAACACACATGGGATGAGAAATGATTTGAGAGTGATATCATTATGAAAGTAATAGTATGATACCATCAATAATATAAGTTATTCTTTGACTAATCTAGCAACAAGAAGATACCGAAAACATGTACATATTCGGGGTGTTACAGAATGTATTGACTAAATTTATACCAGTGCATATTCCTTTTGGATATGACATTATGTATTCTAGAGTCTAAATCATCCATTTCATTTTTAATTACCCTCCCAAGTCAGTATGTTAAGTAGCAGAAGCTATATTTTGCTTTGTTGGGACAATGTCCATTCATTCATTTGGTTTGATCAATAGCAATCATTTATATGTATTTAATAAAGTTTCGAGCTGAAATGTGCGGGTCATATATAACTTGCTCGAGCCATAGCTTTTGACTCTATTATTGAAATATATAGCTCTTTTTGAAGGCTTTTGATGCGTTCTACATGATGAAGCTTATATCTATAGGCTAATTCTAAAATCAGCCAGTTGGAAATACCTTTTCTCTGCTGGCTGAAAATTGTCTACCAGCAACACAATTTCTATGATTTCCTTATATATAGAGACGGCTAGATTCTAAATTGGCCAGCTGGGTAATTTCAACTTGCTGGCCCAAAATTTCAACCAGCTGGTTGTTGTGTTTTGGTTGTAGTTTTTTTCTTTCAAAAAAAATATAATTTGAGTGGTTCATTGGTACATCTATATAAACATCTCTAAGGCTATTTTCCTACGAAGATAGGAGTTTTATATCAGAGATTAGAGAGCCCTATTGTGAGAGAGAAAAGGAGAAGGCTTTTTCTATAGTTTGAGGGTGACCTCTTCCACTGTCTCTTCTTAGAGTTTCGATCGCGCGCTTGAAGCAAGCAAATCTATTCTGATCAAGAACCTTCTTGGAGTGTTGCCTTGTACTTCATCATTATCACCATCATTTTTCTAGATCTATTACTCTCATGTTTTGAAGAACGAGTTTGTTAAAAGGGTTGTAAGATCTTTCCAGTACTATTTTAATTGATACCATATTTCTTACTTTCTTTTCTATCGCCGTTGGTAAGAAAATTGGTTTTTGATCTCGTATTCAAGCTCGTGTGAATTGAGGATACTAGCTAGCTAGGGCTAGGGTGCGCACTTGTATGGTATGATTTGTTGCAGAGATGACTAGATTGGATTATGATGCAGAAACTCTCCTTCATACTATATGGAAGGACCTGCTCACAAATATATAAATAAATTTAGCTCCAACCGCTATACACTCCTTGTGTCTTTCTGTAGTTGTTCCGTGATTGATTATTTGCTTTGTTTAGTTTACTTCTCATTATTCCGCTACTATATCTGTGCTAACTAAATAATAAATTCTTTTAAATCGAAAAAATGTAGCATTCATTTTCACACATCTTCTAGCCTTACGTCTAGATCCTAACATGCTTAACATAAAAAATCAGCTTGAAATAGATATAGAGTTAGATAATTATTCTTCACATCGTTATTTTTTGAAATAAAATCATGAAATTGAGTTAGTCCTGAAGGAAACTCCATGTTTTCACCATTACGCCAACAATCAAGGTAAAACTTATTGAAGATTTAATCTGACATAATCCTCGTTAAGTATAAGAGTATTAAATAAAGAGCTCACAAACAAGTATATATTCTATAAGGTCTCTACATTCCCACATCCAACAATTATTCTTTAAAAAAATTATTATCTAAATTTCTTTAAAATAATTCCTCTAGTCAATGATAGCTAAAACTTCTAAGTATATATTTTAAAGTGAGGAAAAATGTTTTTAGCTTCTTTGTATTTTTTGCTCGTAATTATCCCACAATTTCACTTATCATGGATTAGTTTATATCGTAAAAACTAGTATAGTGCACATAAACATACTTATTTTATGTTTTGAAATTATATCGTTGAGTGTCACAACAATATAGATCCTTAAATCGAAAATTAAAAGTTTCTACTATAATAAATAAAATTGTACAATAAAATCATGTAAAAAGATTTTTATAAATAATTACTATATCTTTTATTATTATAATTCAATCATTATTTTTTAAATATTTATAATATATTAAATTGTTATTTAATATTATTTAACATTATACTATCAAATGGTAGAGGACTCAATTAGCTTGCGAGCGGTGCATGGATCGATACCTCACATATCCATTTTTGTTTTTGTTTACGGTCAGGCCCAAGTTCCTATCCTACCGAGATGTACATTTATAGCTTATAATAGTTTTCTAAAATTCATTACATATTTTACCTTAGGGTAAATTTCCTGAACCTCCAAAAACTTTTATTTCTCAAAAAATCTCTCTGAACTTTGGGTACTCTAAAAAACCATCTACACTTTCAAATTTTCCAACGAACCTCCTAAATACGTTAATAATGACATCACTGACTGTTGTTTTTATTGTGCGAAATAAGTGCTCGTTGAATTGTCAACACAGTTTAGGAGGTTTCTGCCAGGCACCCCAAACTCAGGGGTTTAGTTGGTTTAAAAGTTCAGGCGGGTTTGTGCAAAACCCCCAAATTCAGGGGTGGTTTTCTGAAAAATTACTTTCTTTTGGATAGACGCAACAATCCAGCCGAAGTCAGAATAAAAGATACGGGATCCACGCCAGCTCTACGTGGCACACTCCCTCCTGTTGCTGTCTACGTGTCCTTTCTTTTATAATCATAATAATAAAATTTTCTCAACTCCACAAAATCTAAGAAAGAGAGCGAAATAAAATAAATTATATAAAAAAAAAGAGTTAGGAAAGTTGGCTGAGTTCGACAAAGAGATTGTGAATAAAAACAAGAGGTCCCGTGAGTAGAATTCTGCTCTTTTCGTCGATCTGTAGAAAATTTGAGGTGCGTTTTATTCTATTGATCGTTTTTTCCCCTTCAAAGATTGCAATTTTAGGCGGAAATAGAGAAAAATGTCAGATTTTTATCGATGAAACTATGAGATTTACTTTCATTTTAAGATCTAGATGTTTTTTAGCATTTTTTTTTTTGAATATTTGAGGTGGGTTTTGATCCGAAGGTAAAATTTTGGGAAGCAGTTTATTTCCTAATCTTCCTTTGATGTGTAGGTCACTAGTAAAGAAATCTGAGATGGGTTTCTGCTTGTATCTAATTCACTGTCAATATATGAGATTTTATTGTTGATTTACTATTACTGTTAGCTTATAAAAATTCAAATCCTAAGCGCTTATCACATTCACTGCATAATAACACCTTAGGCCACTCTATCACCTTTATTGCATGATAATTTTTAAATTGTGAGAAAGTAAGCATCATAAAATGAGAATAAGTGAGCGAAACTCTACAGAAGAAAATGTAAAATCTTGTCTTTTCCAGAGATTTTTCACAGTGGTCTGGACTCCCCATCATAAGTTTTGGTGGGAAACAAGTTATAAGGGGAAAAGAAATCTGATATGTTGTTCATATGTGGTGTTATTTTGCTGGATGCTCCACTTGTAGTGCATCTTTATGCCCCATTTTCTTTTAAAATGTAAAAGAAATAAATGTGACATTTTGGTGGTCCTAGTTTATCTACATTTATTATGTTTGAATTGTATTGGCCTCTACCTATGGATATTTTTGTTTACTGATTGTGACAGGATGAGATCTATTTTGTCCTTTTGAATCTTTAAATTTGTTTTGCTCATAGGAAGTTTACACCATCCTTCAATAGCACTTGCAGCTGCTTTGATTACTCTATATTCACTCTATTTTGCATGTAAGTAGTAATTCTACTCTTATATTTTCTAATCATTGATCTTCTAGTAATTTTATCCATTATTTTCAGATTATTTGGTTGTTCTTGCTTAGTCCTAGTTCTTTGATACAGTTTCATTGCTTGTGACTTGTGCTGCATTTTTTTGCTTGCTTATTTAGCTGAAGTTTATATTGGTTTTGTGGTTCTTTAAGGAAAAATGGGAGTGGAGAAAGAGAAGAAGCTTCTTACAGTGGCTCCTTTCGAGTGTGCATGGTGTGAGGAACTTAGATTTAGGGAAGCTGGCCGTGGTTGCATCGCCTTTGAGGCTTTCGCTCAGAATGATGTCACTTTGGTGTTCAGAGAGCAAGTTGGAAGCCAATACTACCATTACAAAATGGACAATAGCCCAAACTATACCATCATATTAGGAAGTCACAGAAACCGAAGGTTGAAGATTGAAGTAGACGGAAAGACTGTAGTCGATGTGGCGGGTATTGGTCTCTGTTGTTCTTCGTCATTCCAGAGCTATTGGATAAGTATATATGATGGATTGATTAGTATAGGGAAAGGAAAGCATCCGTTTCAGAACATTGTGTTTCAATGGCTAGATGAGAATCCCAATTGTAGTGTTCAGTATGTTGGCTTAAGTAGTTGGGATAAACACGTGGGATATAGAAATATCAATGTCCTGTCCCTGACCCAAAATCATACAACTCTATGGAATCATCTTGATTACAAAGAGTATGAGGCAGAGACCGATGGGGAGATTGAGGGGGATAATGTGATTGATGGCTGTGGAAATTGGGGTCTTAAGAATTTCCTCGAGAATTGGGATCTTTCTGATGTATTATTCGTTGTTGGAACCGAAAGAAAAGTGGTTCCTGCTCATAAAATTATTTTGGCTGCTTCCGGAGAATTTTCATTTAGATCTTCTGATGAGAACATTATCCATCTGCCTTCAATAAGTTATCCAGTTCTTCATGCATTTTTGGAGTATATTTACACTGGCCAAACCCAAGTGAGTTCTTTAGCCTTCACTCTCATTGAATTCTGAAAATCACCAGGTTTCACATGCATATCTGTTTGAAATAACATTCTTTTGTGGGTTTAGATTGCAGAGTCGCAACTTGCTTGTCTGCGGGATTTGGGCACACACTTTCAAGTGTCTCCATTGGTCAAGCAGTGTGAAGAAATAATTGATCGGTTTAAGACAAACAAGAAATTATTTGATTCCGGTAAAAAAGTGGAAATCATGAGCAGGATCTACCACGAGTGGCAATCTGGTATTTATCCTGGTACATCCCCCGCAGTGGTGAGCAATCTTAAGAAATTCCTTGCAACTGGTGAGCACAGTGATGCAAACATTTACATTGAGGGGCGAGGTCTTGTTGCCCGTTCTCACAAAGTTGTTCTTAGTTTATGGAGTGCTCCATTTGCGAAGGTTAGTCTCTCTCTCTCTCTCTCTCTCTCTCTCTCTCTCTCTCTCTCTCTCTCTCATTGGATGGGTTTTACTTTTTCTAGTTCAAAAGTGCAAGGAAATGATGATATCATAAGAGGTTGGGCTTCTCTCTCCCTTTCTGGGTTATCATTGTTTTTCTTGTTCTATTAGTGAAACAGAGTAGCTCACTTAAGAGCCTGAGGCATCTAAATTCAGCAAGTTATCACTTCTTCTTAACTTTGTTCTCACTTATTTATTCTCTTTTTGGCTGTTTGAAATGCAGATGTTCACAAACGGAATGGTTGAGAGTAGCTGCTCAGATATTTCATTCACTGACGTGCCTGCAGAAGCTTTTGTAGTCATGCTTCAGTTCATGTATAGTGGGGTTTTAGAAATGAACCAAGGAGAAATGGCTTCTTTGCTGATACCACTGCTTGTATTAGCTGATCAATTTGGGGTTATGTTCCTTCAACAAGAGTGCTGCAAATACCTTTTGGAATTCCTCTCAGAGGTAACTTAAGCGTTGGACTGATTCTCCAGCTAACCTGTTTACTTGCTCATGAAATGTTTACATTTTCCATTTTAAGTTTCGAATGGTTGTCCTTGGAGTGGCTTAGAAGTACTCAGTGGTGATTTGCTTGTACATTTGATTATATGAAGTACATCAAATTTTTCATTTTGAATGTTGGGCACCAAGGAGTTGATGAAAGATCTTTCTCTTTCTTAGCTCCTCAAACATCACTAATGAAATTTCCTTGTGTCTGCGTAAAGTCTGTGTCAGCCATAGATATGTTGGTTTTAGATGCAATATTCCCTTGGGTTTCCAAAATTAGCTGCCTTCTTATAAATATTTTACGGAAGTAATATGTCTAAATTATCATTATTTTCTGTAATCTACAATATTTATATGAGACCCCTTTCTCTCTCTTTTCTTATCCCTTTAAGCCACTGAGACCTTTATTAGCCATAGAGATGCAGGTCCTAGACTCAAGGTTCCTGGAACAAAATACATTAGCTGCTCCCAGAATAAATTGATGATAATTTTTTTTCATTATTTTGAAGGGACAGTGTGCGCTCGCTCGCGTGATTTTCTTTTTGTTTCATTACTTTCTTTATTGAGTTGGTATTTCTAAGTGCAGTATTGCTGCATCGACAACATTCATGTCTGTGTTGAAGGATTTCTGGTGGGAGCAGTAGAATAAGTGCCACATGGTGAAGAATACAAAATATTAATACATTTCATACATATATGCAGGGTTGCGTCATAGTGGAAGAAGATCAACAATCTTGTATTTTGCAAATTTAATGGACAAGGCTTCAGAAGATTTTGGAGAACTTGTAGGTGTGATTGAGACTAACATGTCAAAGTTTGTTGCAGGATACAGTCTGTCCTATTTTACAAGCTGTTTCGTCAGTTCCATCATGTAAACTTCTTGAAGAAACTTGCAAGAGGAAATTTTCAATGCACTTTGATTATTGCACAACTGCCAGTACCGATTTCGTCTTGTTAGATGAGGCGATTTTCAAGGATATACTTCAGGCAAGTTCAGCTATCCATGTTGGGTAGCTTGTTTCACTTGTCAATTTTACACTGAAACTTCTGTAATTTTATTCCCTAAGACACTGTCTACCAAAGTTAGGAGCCGGAAAACTATAAATTTTAATATATATTAGAAACATTATGGGGTGGCAGTTCATTCTACTAAATGAGTTACCAAGATGTAGGCTAATGGGGAGGCCAGCTGCAAATGTGCTTGAAGAAAAGATGCTTTAGCCCATTTTCATCTACTGCCAGTCCTTTTTTCTTCTTCAGTCCCCTTGTGGAAAAATTTGGGTCACTGAAATTTCTGAAATGCTGAGTTTCAATCATCTTCTTTCTAGTTTCAGAAAGATGTTAACTAGAAGCTGCAAGATGTCTCCTAGGTTCCATTTGCTAGATAGTTGACGGCTATTTAATTCTCTATATTCATTACTGACTGTGTTAAGATTTACGGGGTCGTGAAAGTTGTTATTAAGTCCATAAAAAAAGGCTTTGGTAGTTAATGCCGACAAATGGTTACTCCAGTAACGTCTTTTGCAGCATGCTGACATGACTGTGACCTCAGAAGAAAAAGTTCTTGATGCAATTTTAATGTGGTGCATGCAAGCCTCTGATATCTGTAGCTGGACTGCAGTCAATGAGCTCTTGAATTCTCTAACACCTGAACAGATTTTCAGAGAGAAGCTTCCATCTCTCGACACTTTTCTACCTTTTGTACGCTTTCCACTAATGCCATCCTATTTGCTTCAAAAGGTAATGCACATGCAAGATTCATCTGAAAACTGCACATGCCTCTATTGGATACATGTGCAATAACAATGGATATCACTTGTGTCTCTGCAGCTGGAAAAGAGCAAACTGAGCAGCAAGATTTCTGTATTTGGGCAGCTTGTGAGTTAGCTGAAGGAAGAGAATCCTTTTAATGGTTTCTATGTACATTATTTTATGTTAAATTACTTTCTTTTTTAATCATGATGTGACAGGTAGCAGAAGCAATTCAGTATTCGGGTATTAAAGTGATAATGCCAGCAACCAATCAGAAGTGAGATTTACTTGCAATTTATTCACATAATGTTTGTTATGTTTTGAAGCATTGACTTACTAGCAGTTTTGAATTTGGTGTGATTAAACGTTTAGTGTGAGGTTTCAACATCGACGTTCAAGCTTTAGAGATCTCCAATATATATGTGATGGGGATAAAAATGGAGTTATTTACTATGCTGGGACATCCTATGGGGAGCATCAGTGGGTGAATCCGGTTTTAGCGAAGGTGAGCTTACTCTAGTGATACTAAACCATTTATTTGTTACTTTACTTTTCAGTAATTTTTTAATTTTATTGCTTCAGAAAATTAATGTGACTGCAAGTAGCCCTGCTTCCAGATTTACTGACCCAAAGGCAATGGTGTCAAGAGCATACCAGGTGTGGAAAATGAATATCATTAGGATAGTTCTCCGAGTTGTGCTTTGTGTAGCATAATTATAACGGACTGTTATGTGTTTTTTAGGCTACCTCTTTTGCTGGCCCTCGGAGAGAAAATGGCCAGAGCTGTGCTTGGTGGATGGTTGACATCGGGCAAGATCACCAGGTTTGTATTTGTCCACAAGTTTCCAGTTATTGCAATCCTACTCAAATCTGTTGAAATATCCTTGTGAGACGCTTTCTAGACTGTTCATTAACTGATATTCAGGGAAAGTCGATTTTAGCTATTGTAATTGGATACAGGCATGAGTTTTTAGCTATGCAGGGAGGCAGTTTCATATAGACCTATTTTGAATATAAAAAATGCATTTTCACTAAAAGTGAGAAATTAACAAGAGATGAGGTATTCTTCAGTCAAAGTCCCACACCCGTTGTCATGAAAGCGTCTTAAGTGCCTGTCATCATGAAAGCTTCCTCAAGTTCCATACACAGAACTATTATACTTTGAAATGTGTCATCACTGAGTGTTCTGTATCTGGTAGTATAAAATCTAAGATTAGCGTATCAATTTTCAAATTTCCAAGTAAAAATGCATCCACTATTATTTATTGGGGACATAATTGAGAAGATATTATGAAATGTGTATAAAAATTTATGATATAAATATGGATGTCAAATACTGATGTATAATGTTACTAATTTAGAAGTAATAAAACTGATGGACGACAATATATGATTATATTGCAAGCTCATCTTCTGTTGTGGTTTTATTAATAATAATTTTTCAATTGGGCTTGAAATGTATTTAGAAACCTTAAAAAATCACCCTAAAAGGTAGTTTTTAAGAGGTAGGGGGTCCAAATCTTTTACAAACCCAGACTTGATTCTCAATTTAGTCATGTGGGACTAAAGAACCCTGACAACTACCAGTCCACCACACTTTCGCAGCCTCAGCATCAATGTGGGCTGGCTGCGCGTACTTTAATCCGTGCTAGCACTGTATTACCGGTTTTACCGCTTTGAATTGGCTTAAACACCAAGTTGGTCCCTGTACTAGGGTTTCATAATCAAATTGGTCCTTGTACCTTTTATTTTCTTAACATAGTACTTTTATTTTCTCTACATAGTAGTACTTTTCTTTTCTCTACATAGTACTTATATCCCTTGTAAGATATAAAGTTAGTCCATTTTTAACTCTCCGTTAAAAGTTAAGTAATACTTGAAAGGACATTATTACCTCACCTCTACAAACCCATCAATTTCCAGAACTCCCTCCAAACCAACTTCGCACTTACACCCATCCTCTGCCCCCCATACGCCTCAACCACCTCTCCCCAATTGCGGATGCTCCTGGACCCTACCATCGGCATCTTCACCTCTGACCAATACAACATTTTTCCATTAAAACACCAACAATAATAACACTTCCATATTCAATTGGAATCCAAATTGGACGAGATGCACACTTCCTCTTTCTCCAATCCACGCTAAAACCATCAATAGTCACCTCCTTCCTTACTGTGATATAATAATCTAATCTGTAACATTCTCTCAACACCCAGGTCTTCTCCTCTCCAATCAAATACAGGGACATAGACCCAACTTCTTCACAAACCAAATCCTCAAGGGTCTCATAACCAAACCAAACCTTTGAAGAAAAGAATACCTCTTACAGAGATGACCAACTTCCAGAAACAGTAAAACACCTCCAATCAAAACCCGCAAGTAAAAAATTTTGCTGGTGGGGGGATGAAGAAAAGAATATCTCTTGCAGAGATGACCAACTAGAAACAGTAAAACTCCTCCAATCAAAACCCCGCAAGCAAGAATTTTGCTAGTGGTGGGTGAAGACGCTGGTAATGGGGTCGGGGAGCATTCAGATTTGAGGAGAGGTGGTTGAGGGGTCCGGGGTGCACAGTAAGGGTATGGGCGTGAAGTTGGTTTGGAGTGAGTTCCGGGAATTGTTGGGTTTGGAGAGGTGAGGGTAATAATGTCCTTTTAAGTATTAGCTAACGGAACTTTTAACAAAGTGTTAAAAAAGGATTAACTTTATATCTTACAATGGGATGGGTACAGAAGAGTAAGTTCAGAAAATAAAAAGTACTAGCACCAATTTGAGTACGAGGCTCTAGTACAAGGACCAATTTGGCCTTCTAGCTTTTTGACTTTATACTAAGTGGTATTGGGCAAGCACTACAATTCAATTCTGACATTAGGACTGCTTGTATTCTTTGCAAATGAGGAAAACATGGACTGCACTTGTACAATGAGCTTACTATAGATAATTTCCTTCTTTCTAAACGCAGCTGATGTGCAATTATTACACTCTGAGACAAGACGGCTCCACTGCATTTCCTAGATCATGGGCCTTCCAGGTAAGTTGGAAATTATAAAACTTAGGATGAAAAATCAATTAATGATCGGCAATTATACATCACATATTCCTTTATATTAGGGATCCATGGACGCCGAGAACTGGAGCGACTTAAGAGTACACAAGAATGACCAGACGATATGTAGGCCCGGGCAGTTTGCATCTTGGCCCGTGAACGGCCCAACTTCACTGCTTCCTTTCAGATTCTTCCGAGTGATATTGACCGGTCCGGCAGCGAGCGATGCGAACTTGTGGAACTTTTGTATTTGCTTCATTGAACTCTATGGTTACTTCCACTGATGAAGTACCTGGGGCAATGTGGTGATGAGTTGGTCACTGATGACCGAGGTATTGTATAATTTCATAGTTGAGTGAGCCAATAAGTCCTCAGTAAAGATGGTTCTTGCAATATCTAATCCCATGTTCGTGTTGATTGTAAGAACGCTCTGATGACAATCTTTGTAAGTTTTGAGTTGCTATCACCTCCAAAAGTTATGTTTGGCTATTTTTTGTTAGGTTGGGTTATTTAATTTGTGGGAGCTCCATGTTCTCCTGCTTGTTTGTTCTTGGCTTTAAATTTTGTGGGAACTCCATGTTCTCCTGCTTGTATTATCTCAAGTTTACCGAGTGCAGAAGTTTTAAGGGTTAATTGCAAACAGACCCCTGTAGTATCATCCAATTGTGAATAGATCAAATTTTGTAAAACGACTCTTTTTTAGGGTCTGTTCGTTTGCCCCAAAAAAACATGGAAAACAGGGAATTGAAAACAAATCAGACTGCCACATAGGATCAAGGTTTCGGATGATTTCCATTTCACCTGTTCGTTATACAAGCTGATTTAGAGAAATGTGGCCTTGAAATTGGGTTCCACGTTGGAGTTTGGGAAATGGTGTTTTCAGCTGCATTTGGCGTGAAAACAGCTGAAATCTCATTATACGCCCATTAAAATAATCGCACGGGTGTTTTTCAAGGCGGGGGGAGAGAAAACTGGGAAATGCTTAGGGTTCCCTTCACCGCCTCTTCGTTCTCTTCATTCTTCCCCATTGCTCCGCCTCTTGCCGTCTCCAATGCTCTGTCTCTAATTTTTTTCAAGGCGGGGGGAGAGAAAACTGGGAAATAAGCCCTCAACGACCATTCATGGGTTGTTTGTGTTATCTTAGCCAGATCTAGCAGCAACGGTGGTTTTATTGGGTGATTTCTACTTCTTATCTTCTTCCACTTGAGCGGTGTAGTCAGATCTACACCTGATCTGGTAGATTTAGTCCTTGAAGGGGGGTTCCATCAACTTCAACTGCTTGAGGTTCGATCCAATTTTTCCTTAAGGTATCCCTTCATCAGAGAGCAAATTTGTTATAAATAGGTAACATGCATCAAATTTTAAGAGTTTAAAAATTAACCTTGTGATTTATGGGGGTTTTTTCGTTCATTGCAACTGCATCTTTTAAGAGATTTATTCCTTTTACTAGTCATCCTTTATCTCTAATTCACGCACTTCCTTAAACCCTTGTTTTAGATCAGCTTTTTAAGCATATCAAAGGAACTATTAATCGAATTTTTCTGATCTTATATCCTAACCATAACCTGAGCATGTCTATTTCCAATATCTGAAAGCTTGTATTAAATAAGATAATTTTAATTAATTGTGAATTTTTCAAGTCTGTCTTTAAACTGTAGTCATTATTTAGTCTTCAGTTTGCGATAAGGAGCCACCTTCTGATCATGTCTTTAATTAATGTGTTGCATAATACCAAGTTATTCACGGGTGTTTAATAAAATTATCTGCTGTGTAAGAGTGACGTTGAACATATCTGATGATCAGTTATTCAAAAGATGGTTTCTTTCGTAGAAATATGTTCTCCAAAGATGGTTAATCACTTGTTTCTCTCTCTAATTTTGTTCAAATCACAGAAGTTATTCACTTGTGTAATCTTGACTGGTTATTTAAAAGTCCACAGCCCTACAACAAATATAATGAGAATGATAGTGAAAAGTTTGTTTTGATTTTTATTTACATATTTTAACTGCGGCTTAAATATTGTAGATGGATGGTGATTATGATGATGAAGAGGTTGTTAAAAGAATTTGTGTTGGGGCTTCATTTTCAGTCATGGTAATAAATTTCACATTTTTTAGGAGAATTAAATGTCGCCGTAGATCAATACGGTCTGGACCAAGTGATGAGAAATTAAGGAGGGAAAAGACTAGGGCTGATTTGATGAGACGTATATTTCACGGTTATAGTGATAGCTGTCAAAACTTTGTTAGAATGCGCCCGGGTGTATTTATGAAACTAGCAACGTTAATGAGGAATCAACAACTCTTAAAGGACTCAAGGCATGTAACATTAGAGGAGCAACTTGCCATAACTTTGAATATTTTGGGACATAAATCCAAAAATCGTACGATGAGAACACAATTCATAAGATCAGGGGATACAGTCAGTAAATACTTCAATGGAGTATTGCAAGTTATTTCGTGCATACAAGGCCGATTTATGAAACAAGCACCGAATGAAGTACCTCAAGAGATCCTAAGCAACCCATCATTTTATCCATTTTTCAAGGTATATCATCCACTCTACCATTTTTCCAAAACAATTCTCTAAACAAATCATAAATTACTTTAACATAGTAAGTTGTACTCCATAGGATTGCGTAGGTATGATAGATGGGACACATGTGGATGCTATGCTACCTGCTACACTTGTTTCGCGTTTCAGAGGGCGCAAAGGTGTCACACAAAATATTCTTGCGGCTTGTACACCAAACAAACTGTTCACTTATGTTTTAGCTGGGTGGGAGGGGTCGGCTAACGACTATAGAATCCTTCAAGATGCTCTGTCTAGACCACAACCATATGGCTTACGGGTGTACACTGGTAAAATTCTTGTTAACTCAAATTGTGATTCCTCACTAATTATTACATTATACAAATCTTATTAAAATACCGTGTAATATGTAGGAAAATATTACTTGTGTGATGCGGGCTACACAACCCAGCCGGGTTTCATATCCCCATATCGTGGTGTTCGTTATCATCTAAAGGAATTTACGGGAAGAACACCTCAAAATAGGAGGGAGCTATTCAATCTTAGACATTCATCTTTGAGGTCAAAGATTGAAGCTACCTTTGGTATATTGAAGAATCGTTTCAAGATTCTCACCGCAAAACCCAACTACCCTTTCCCCGCACAAGTTGACATTGTTCTGGCGTGCACGGTTCTCCATAACTACATTGCAACAGTTGATCCCGAGGATGAATTGCTCAATGAGACCATTGACATTGAAGAGGAGGACGTCGAAGAGGAAAATTAATGACGAAACCAACGTTATGAATTTCACGCAGTCCCAAACAGTAAGAGAACAAAACGCCTCAAAGGATGAGTGGAGGTCTCATAGAGATCAAATGGCATTGGACATGTGGATTGATTATTGTAGTAAATATCGGCATGGTGACACTCACGAGTCTGCCTTGTGATTTGCTACTGTAGTCCTGAGGTTTTTATAAGTATTTTATGTTAGTTGGTCGTGTAACTTATTAATGATGTCATCATGCAGACTATAATACTGTTGTGCGACTTTATCTATTTATGATTCACTTAGTTTCTGTTGCTGTCCTATCATTTGCAGGGTAGTCATATGTTTGTTATTTATCAGTTTGGGGCAACAGATTACATTGTTCTTATCCCACTATCAATTTTTTTACCAGGCAAGATTACAACTATTATTTGCTTGCTATGCCATTTGTGGTCAGTAATGAAATGGGTAATATATTATATGCTAGCTTTCTTGCTACATGTTTGTAATGTCATCTATTACATATGAGATCAGTAATTGTCTGATGTTGTTATCTGATCTGTTGCAATCATTGGATAGTTTCCACTTTGTCATTACTTGTTATGACTCACATATGACTTTTTTACAACTGAATTTGTTGAAATATAGGAAATGGGTGAAAAATCATCCTCCGAACAGAATAATTTGGGCAAAGAGGTGACTTTCACTCACTCCCCAAATTCAATAGCCCCAGCAACATCTCATGTGTTCCCTGCAAGCATTGGCTTTCCTCACAGTGTCAATCCCATGTTCCAGTCATCCTCGCCCTTTGTGCAATCACCGTCAGGTTTTTCAAATGTGCCTCACTACGATGGTAACTTTTTCCCTATGCATCACCCCATTTCATCTTACATGCACATGCTCAGTAGTCCACCACCTTTGCCACAAACTTTTCAAAGCTCCAATTCATCTGGGCAAATTCATTCTCTAGCTAGTATTACAGGGACTACTTCTGATTCAGGAAAAAACAAAAGAATTGCCAGGGATGAAGCAGTAGCAACTTCTGCTTGTTCACCAAAAAAAGTCAAATCCCTTGCCCATAAGAAAAGAAAAATCCCACTCGAGCTTGAAGCTGCAAAAGTTGGCCCAACCAGATGGTGGACCTCTGCACATGATGACGTGCTCATACCCTTCCTCGCAAATTTGGCCAAGTCTGGTCTTAAGCCAGACAAAAACTTTAAGCAACATGCATTTGCAATGGCTGCCGCTGAAGTGAACAAGCAGTTTGGTACTTCCTTTCAAACGAAAAGTGTTGTAAACCATATGAAAACAATCTGTTCTTGGTTTCAAGACATGCATGCTGCTCGTAACATTAGTGGTGCGGGTTGGGATAAAGAAACTCAAACGATCATGTTGGATCCTGAGAGTTTTGATACGTGGAATGAGGTAAATGCTATCGAAAAATATTTTTTGCCTTTTGATTCTTTCTCCTACACGTTGGTCAAAAGTTGTATATTGATGCGTGCAGGATAAAAATAAGAGCAAGCTTAAAGATTATATTAATAAGCCTCTGAAGCACTATGAGAACCTAGCAATCATTTGTGGGGATGATCAAGCAAGGGGTAACTTTGCTAAGGCAGCAATGGAGAAATTTGGGGGTCAGGAGCCGATTAACCTCGCAGGTAATGACGATGAGGATGTTAGCAATCATATGACCCAAAAGTCCCCTCACTCAGTCAACTTAGCAGATGAAGATAATCAATCTGAAAACAACAATGTTAGGTCAACCAGCAAGGACAAACAGAAGAAAATCCCTTCGGCTAAAGGGAGGGGGAGGAAGGCCCCATACGAGTAAGAGATCATGTAACAAATGGTTGAGGAAGTTAAACATTTTTCTCATTCTCTAAATCTTATTAATATGCACTGGACAGAGAAATTGTCCAAAGCTATCTTCAAGCACAAGGATACTTACACAATAGAATTCCTTGAGCTTTTTTATGATCACATTTTTGAGGATGAATCCAAGGCCAGGCATTTTATAGGTAAGAGTGACTTCGGCCAGAGAGCTTTGTTGGAAAATTTCAAGAAAATGCAAGATGGGGGGAGCTAGTTTGACAATTCAGGTACGTAGTTTGATCTGGTGCTTAAATGGTCGTGCAAGCTATCAGAAATAATCCTCGCTCATTTCTTTACCTATTGTTATTTACAGGGTCATTCTGGAGATGGTTGGGACATATATATTTTGCAAATTTTGGCCTAACAATGATGTTGTTATTTTGTAAGAACT